TCCTGCAGGCGCTTCATGTTGAAGTCCATTAATCAGAGGGAGGACAGAGACTTTGTTTTGCCATGAGAGTTTTACAGGTAATTTCAAACACCTTTAATGTTTCTTACCAGGCTTTTATTAGCAGTTGTCCTCTATTTGTTGATGCCATGGTTTAAAACTCATGTGCACCCTGGAATCGGGGGTCACTAATGGATTTAAGTGCTTTGTTTTCAAAGGGTCTCGAGCCAAAAAGATGGCAGCCACTGCTCTGATCTTTGATTCATCATCCAGTAACTGTTGTAATTATTATATTTGTGATTTTTAGGCCATAAATATAATAATCAAAGAACCAAAGAATCAACAAAGACCTTCAGTCATCTCCTTTCTGTCTGTTCACCTTTTTAATACCTTGTATTTCAACCGTCTGTTCCTGACTGGTGGCGACTGTCTTTATCTTCAGGAGGAATAAAGTCCACAGTTTCCTCCGGCTCCTCAGTCGCCCTCCCACACACAGTCACATTCTCGCAGCGGATTTCGCTGGCGCATCGTCGTGATGACAGTGATCCTGTTCTCGGACAGCTCTCGCAGCTGGTTGATGAGCTCCTGTACGCAGGGGCTGGGCCAGGGGTGACCGTTCAGGTAATCCCTCAGGATGAAGGAGCGCTCCACCAGCAGCTCCAGCTGCACCAAGTGTCGCAGCCGGTGGAGGCTCAGCAGGTCCTTCTCTGGTTCTCTGCGGAAAAATCTGAGAGGGGAGAGAGGAGGCGGGTCAGACCTAACAAGAGGAGAGTTTCCTTTGCAGTTTGGTTGTTGTTGTTGTTGGCACTTAACAAGACCTGCACTGTGGTTTATAAGGTATGAGGACAATGTTCAAATCCACGACAGAAAACAAACTAAAAATGCAGAGGATGTTGGGTAGAAGTAAGTGGTCAGCAGAACTCACTGGTTTGTTTTATTCCAGTCTCTGTAACCTTGCAACAGACCTAAAAATAAATGTCCTGTCTGTCTCACCGTATCCTGAGCGTCCTGAGCTGAGGAAACAACATAGGGATCCGTCTACAGAGGCTGCCACTGGAGCGGTTCTGCTCGATGTCGAGGTGCTCAAGTGCCGGGACTTTAGGTGCGATGGAGTCCATGTCTTTCAGAGTTATGGCCACACGCAGCGTCAGCCTGGTCACGCTGGAGGGGATGGTGGTCGTGTAGGTGGCGAGAGAGTTCCCACCTAGACCGACAGAAAACAGCGGTCACAAAATCTTTACATCAGGACAAACATATTTCAATAACAACCTCAACTCATGGAAACAAAACCAACACAACATCTACAGAAAAGGGAAAAGCTTTTAACAGCCCATCTCACCGATGATAGTGAGTGTCTCCAGCTGTTGGAGGGGACTCAGCCAGGAGGTGAGGCGGCACTCGATGCCCTCTCTGATGTACCTGTAGCGGACAGTTAGTGACCTAAGCGAGGTCAGGCTCCTCAGTGCGTTCTCTGGCAGGATGGTTTCTGGGTAATCCACCAACTCTAAAGTGGTCAGCGCAGGGCCGCCGTACCGAGATGCTCCTACAGGACAGAAGAGGAGGAGAGTTTGTAATAGAGTTTAAACAGTATGGATGATGGTTTACAAAACTTTATCATCTTGTGGTGTGTACTGTCATTTTGCCCAATCCTAAATCAATTAATTGCAACCACGAACAGGTCAAAATAATTGCTGCCCCTTAAATTAAGAACAGAGCTTTCGATTTACTGGTCCATCTACGTCCCAACCCTCACCTGTGGTCATGAGCTACTGGTAATGACCGAAAGAATGAGATCGCGGATACAAGCGGCTGAAATGATTTTCCTCCGAAGGGTGTCTGGGCTCAGCCTTAGAGATAGGGTAAAGAGCTCGGACATCTGCTTAGAGCTGCTGCTCCTTCGTGTTGAAAGGGGTCAGCTGAAGTGGTTCAGGCATCTGATCAGGATCCTCCTGGGTGCCTCCTGTTAGAGGTGTTTCGGGAACGTCCCACTGGTAGGAGGCCCCGGAGCAGACCCAGAACATGCTGGAGGGATTACATATCTCATCTGGCCTGGGAACACCTTGGGGTCCCCCAGGAGGAGCTGGAAAGCATTGCTGGGGAGAGGGACGTCTGGGCTGCTTTGCTATACCTGCTGCCCCCGTGACCTGGCTTCGGATAAGCGGTTGAAAATAGATGGATGGATGGAAGTTAAGTACATGTGGATTGTGGTAAATCAGCAAAAGCATGCAAAACTACTGGTCTGATCCTGAGATAACAAAGAGACTACAGCCGAGATGATTGATTGGTCAATTGACGATCAATCTGCAACTGCAAATATGTCAAACATTATATATTTGTAGCATCATTTTTCCTTGTTTTCTCTGTTTTACATCACCGTAAATAAAATAAATTCACATTTTTCTGATATTTAGTTTAGACATGATTAATTGGAAACATAATAAATGGGTTTATTGATAATAATAATTAGCTGCAGCCCTAATGAGGAGCTCAAACTGGGGATGGGTTGCCACATAAGTTCATGTGATTTTTAGTTAGTGGGGTAAAATCTGCAGGAGCACCGGTCTGTGTAACAAAGAGACACCACAGCAGGTGTAGAGGCAGGTAACAGGCTGACCTGGGTGGTCTGGGTCCGGGGGGCTGAGGTAGTCGTCGGGCAACGGCTCCGGCGGCTCCCCCCTCATCCCCCAGGACAGGTGCTTCAGCTTCTTGAGGCTCAGCATGAGGTTGTGGAAGACACTGCAGGGCACCGGCCTCACCGTGTCCAGCCCGTAGCCCTCCCCCTGCTGGTGGAAGAGCAGGTACCGCAGGTTGACCAGCTGCGACACGGTGTTAATAAACTCCACCGTGCAGGGCAGCCGGACGTTACACACGCTCAGGTGAGTCAGCCTCTCGTGCAGGTGCGTGCTCAGGCTGCTCCCGAGCATCGGCTCGTCCCAGGTGGCATTGCGCACCCCGAGGTCCCTCAAGTCCGGGAACCGGGACAAGTTGTCCAGGTATTTCTCCTTGTACAGCCGCCCCCCGTCCACGAACACGATGGCGGTGAGGGTCGGCAGGAACCTGACGAGCCGTCGCCACTCTTTGCGCCGCAGGTGCCGCACCGCCACCCGGGTGAGCTTGCGATGGCGCAGGGTGTCCCAGAAGCCGTAGGTGTAGCGGCGGAGGTCGGACAGCACCACCGTGTAGTCCCTCCACAGGCACGGGTGGTCGATGAGCCTCCTCAGGTGCCTGCAGCCGGCGCGGACCGTGTGCTTCTCCTCCGTGGTCAGGTAGCTGAACACGTAGACCCAAACTTCAGGTGGAAGCTGCGGCAGCTCCTCCATCAGCACCGTCAACGCTCACTGCTAACGGCTAACGGCGAAAACTCAGACCGCTTCAGCACCGCGTCAGCCGGTGAAATAACAGCTGTGCATCAAGGCTTCAGCTCCAGGAGCCCCCGCTGTCTGGTGTCAGTCTAACACCTGTTATAACACCGCTTATTGATCTTATCAGCCGCTAAATATGGACCTGAGACCTGCAGCACCACTAGCTACTGTTTACACTGCGCCCGATTTTGAAGCTGTCGCGCTCTGATGACGTCAATTGTTATTGAACAAAAATGTCAAATATAATCATATAAAAATAAATAAGTTATGCTTTAATTTATGAACATTTTAATAAATAGAAAAAAATAATACTTAATTTAATTATAGGGTAATAAATAGAAAATGTGATTTGATTCAATGATGTTAATTTAATAGGAAATTATTTGATTTATTAATGTTTAATTTGACAATAAGTTATTTAATATCAAATGTGATGATTTGATTTAATATTAATAAATTTAATTTAACATTAATATATCATACAACAATAAGCACATTAAAGTAACATTATTAATTTAAAAGGAAATATAAAACTTTAATTTAATATTAAGTCAGTTTAATAAGAAATGTGATGGTTTGATAATAGCTTATTTTAATAGGAGTTGTAATGATTTAATTTATTAACATGTTAATTTAATAGAAAATGGAATTATTTGATTTAATAATAACTTAATTTAATTGGAAATATAATTAATTAATTCAATATGAACTTAATTTAATAAGAAATAATTATTGAATTTATTACTAAATTAATTAAATTGTAAGTGTAATAATTAAAATTTAAGTTCATTTAAAAGGAATACTTTAATAAGTTAATTCAATATCAAATTTAATTTAATCATGTGGAATTGGCAAAGTTGGCATTTAAAGGTGGAGTCTGCGATTCTGATTCATTCTAGCTAACAAAAAAAAAATGTTGCTAGCTTCAGTTGTAATCCTGACTCAGTAATACTTCTTTGTCTTGTTATATCACTACAATGATTCCTTGAAAGCATTGCAGGAAACTGTGACAAACCAAATACGGTTTAAATGGCTGCAGTCCTGTTTACGTTTTATTTTCTACATCCATTTTCTTTTTTCATGAGCATGTAAGCTGTCAGGTCACAGTTGATGCATGTAGAAGGCAAATGTAAGGGTACAATGCAGATGGACAGGTTCAGTGAGTGTGTGTAGACTTTATATAATGTTCTTAAAACTGTGTTAAACTTCAGCTGTACTTCATGTTACAGGTATGGTAAGGTTACTTTTGGTCTGTACCGCAACACTCACTGCTATCCTATTAAATACAAAGTCATTTCCAACGTGTGATGTTCCTTTGTAGTTGATTTTAAATTCAAATTATGCCATAACCTAAATGTTCTCTGTAGCTATGACTCTGTTTTTGAAGTAGCTAAAAATGTATCACTGCAGTAAATCCCCATTTTAGGTGATGATGGAGAAATAACTTTTAATAATTGTCAGCATTTTTGTATTAAAGCAAAGTAAATAATTCATGGGTTAGCTGACAGAGCTTATTTGAGCATAAAGCATAAATTTAGGTTGCCTTAAAAACTTAAATAATGTGACAGCAAATCATAAAATGATTAAGTTGTTAAAGCGGAGCCTGTAGGTGGATTGAAAGAATACAGAGATACACTCACAGCTGATGAAATATATTTTAATCGTTTCCATTCGTTGATGTAACTGAAAACATATAAATTAAAAGAAATCAACAAAGAAAGCCTCGGTGATTCAAGAGAACAGAAAGGACAGGTTATCTGTGGAGGGTCAAAGGTCATCGGGCAGGTTAGCAGAGGGAGAAAAATCTGGATCAGTCTGAAACTTCATACTTTTATGTCGTTTATGAACAAAATCACTGTTGTATCATCAGCCTAATTTCTTGTATGAACTTCTGCAATGTTCTTTTTGGATGCACCAACTTTCCCCAAACTGCTGCTTCCACTTCTACCTCAGTTAGTGATTTACTACATTTGTCAGTGTGATCATTCAGCTGTGGGTTTGACAAGCAGGTAACAACTATGAGATTATGAGATGGGTCATCATCACCTCAGTCTAAACCCAAATATGTATCACTTCTAGAAATAATTTCTCCCTGCAGGATTGTTTAATGTGGGTGTAAAATTGTGCAAAACATTTGTTGATGTTGCAGTTGGTCAGTTATCCACAAGGGAAAAAACACAAACAAATCTAGTCTGTGATTTTTACAAAAAGAAAAAATAATGAAACAGTCTGTGTCCTGTGATCACAACTCTCTCCTAAATCCTGTCTTCTAACAGGAAGCTCTGACCTCTTTAACATTAGTTTTTTGCACCCAAGAGACTTGAGTTTCTTCTCTCGTTTTACACACAAAGACCTCGAAGAACAAAGACAGACGAAGGCTGACTGATTCAACAGTTGGCCTTTGTTCTACTTTGACAAAGTAAAACACACCGCAGAGAGCAAAAGCTGACTGCCACATCCAGTGTGTCTGCATCAGAGGAAATAATGATCCTGACACTCAGACTGAATTACTGGTTTGCTTTCACATCGTCGGTCTGTCTGAATAACTGAAATCAGAGACATGATGTATTGAGCCAATCCAAGAAACATCAAAACTTATAATCTGAAAACATTCTGACTAACAAAAAAAACTCACCTACCATCTTCACACCACTGATAAATAATTCTAATGATCAAATTGAGGTTATGTCAATAAAATATGCACCTGGCACTGTAATATTTGCTTTGCTCTCTATTGTCTGTGGTGTTTAACTTCTAGAAGAAGAAAAGGCAAAAATACAAAGAAAACCAAATTTAAGTCCAAATTATACTGTGTGAGGGGTCCACACTTCGCTATCTGCTCATGTTTAGAAGTAGAAACAGAACTACATGCATCTAACATCTGTGTCTGCATCCATTTTTGATCAGTGGTTCCCAACTGGTGCAGCCACGGGGTCCAGTTTGAGGTCCTTCAGTTTAATACATGCAGCATCATACTTGTGTTCAGCCATGTCATTGAGCTGGTTTTCTGTTTCTGTCAAGTAGCTGTCGGTTAGTCACTCACTGTACAGCAGGAAACGGCCCTTCAGAAATTTACTGTACTTAAAAATAAAGTGTGTTTTGTTACGAACTTGACACATTTGCGAGTCGCCATTCAGAATGGGCCGTGACCCATTTTTGGAGCCCGATCCACCAGTTGGGAACCACTGTTTCAGACTATATTTATTCCTCAAAGAAACTGTTTGACATTTTGGGAATTACACTTCTTTGCAGAGACTTGGATGTGAAAATTAATACCGCATCTACGGCTGGTGAAGAAATATTCTGTTGCGAAAAATGGAGACAAGTTTTTACGGAGACAAAACAAATGAGACATAATGTGTTCATGGAGTTTTAGAGGTGCTGGTAGGTGGATTTTGTTTAGTTGGACAGAGCCAGGCTAGCTGTTTGCCCATTTCCAGATTGTGCTAAGCTAAGCTAACTGTCCACGGCTTCGTATTTGTCATACAGACAAGAAAGTGCTCTGGTGGTCTCGGGGATGACATGTAATGACACGCTCCCAAGTTTGACTCCAGCTGGTGACCTTTGTTTCATGTCATTCCCTTTCTCTCTCTCCTTTCATTTGTCTAATAAAAACAAAAACATCCCCCCAAAACACTAACAGAAACATGTTGAAAAAGGACGACGAGAGCCAAAAACTACACAGGACAACTGGCTTGAACCGCTCACTTACAGCTCGACAGTCAAGTGTCTAAAAATGAAGGATGTAGTGTGAAGGTGTGAGCTGTCAGGATGTTTCTGAAACAGTGTCCTTAAGACAGTATGAGATCCCAGAGAGACCAGAAGAAAAACATGAGCCCTGGTAGTTTAAACATTCATAGAGCATTTCTATATACAAGCCTATGGACTTTATATTTACACAGGTCGTACATGTGAACATATTCATCAGCTTTTTAACTCTCCACCTGCTGCACAGCGTCCGCTGGACCCCTCTGTGTCTGAGTGAGAGCTTCGCCTGAAAGGAATTATTTTGTTGTCCCGGGAGTCTAAATGCTTTATCAGAGGCCCAGAAACACTCACAGTCACTTCAGTAGTCATTCGTCTTCGTCCCAAGGCAGATACCGGTGTTTGTTTGAGTTCTTTCACTCCACAAAAACCTCCCTCGTCTTTGTCCGTTTAACAAACACTTCCCTTTTTGATTTTTCCTACTGTCACGGTGAGAACGTCAGGATCATCCAACTGATCACGAAGTAGAAGAGGAACACTGGGTACACAACAAGCGCCTTGCGGTTGGGCGGCTGGCTGTCGGCGAGGAAGGCCGTGGAGGCGAAGGTGGACCAGCCGAAGGACACCGTCACCACCACCAGCCGCACGGCGAAGCTGACCGTCCCCGAGCCGCCGACCAGGACGATCCGGCACACGGCCATGGCCACTGTCAGAGGCATGATGCAGTATCCTAACACACACAGGCTCTGGAAGAAGGAGATGGTGCCGCCCAGGAGTTTGGAGTTGAGGGTGATGATGATGGAGCCGAACCAGACGATGACGAAGACCTGGATGAAATTTTGATACGTTAGTGAGGAGTCAGAAGAAAGACTTATTGCTTTATATCAGGGCTGCACAGTTCATTGAAATATTATTGGAATTGCAATGTGGCCAAATGGCAGGAGCTGCAATTTTTTGATCTATTTTATTCTTGTCTTTTTGCACTGTCTGCGCCGTGGGCAGAGTGAAACGTTGTTTAGATTCTCTGTTTGTCTGCTACATAACTGTAGAATTGACAATACTGTCTCTTGAATCTTGAATTTAAAGATGGCACCTTTGGCTTCATTAACTTGTGATTGTGAAGAAAGTTTTATTTTTCTCCATATTTTTAGTTTAGTTTAGTTGTTTTCCAATTCATACAACTCAAATACACACAAGAAAATAGTAACAATAGGTTTTGCTGAGCTAAAGCTGTAGACTGACGCCTTAGCTTATTGCACCTACCCTTTTTACATTAATTGTTTTGTACTGTTCTCTTTAGATTTATACAGTGAGGGGCACCCGGTGGCTTAGTGGATAGAGCAAGCGCTCCATTTGTGGAGGCAATATCCTTGCCGCAGCTGCTGCAGGCTCGATTCCAGCCTGCAGCTGTTTGCCACATGTCATCCTCCCTCTCTTCCCCTTTCATGAATAAAATGTCCTATTTAATAGGCAAAAAGCCAAAAATCAATGAATACATAAGAAACAAGCACAAATTTCAAATCTGTTAAAAGTTTTCCATATTTGTTGTTCCTTTTCAAAACCATTCCACAAATTATGTTCTTCGACAGTCTCCCATTTTCTTCTAATCTAATTTGGACATTTAATTGTCCTTGCAAGGCACTAATTGTCAAAATAATTACTAAAGAAACAGACCTTGGTTGCAGCCTTATGCAGGACCCACATGTGTTGATATTAGTGGTGCTAATTCCCTGTTCAAATTTGCAACTAATTAAATTACAAGACAAACACTGCCAGTGAATCTGTTGCTCGTGGAACAGTCACCAACGTTATTATAACTTTACCAGTTGGTTTAGCAGTGTTGCCCAACAGTAGTTTATATACAGCATAAAGTAATTCAAATTAGCTTTTTAAATTAGCCTGATGAGCGTTAAGATCTAGCATCACGTTAGGTTCATAGTTTGTTGATAGACTTTTAAGGTGCAGTGTGTATGATTAGTGGCATCTAGTGGTGAGGTTGTAGACTGCAATCAACTTCAACTTCTCCCAATTATGTAGGAGAACTATGGTGGCCAACATAAAATAGCAAAATAGTGAATGGCCCTATTTAAAGCTAGTGTTTGGTTTGTCCACTCTGGGCTACTGTAGAAACAATATGGCAGACTCTCTGTAAGAGGACCCACTCCTTATGTAGATATGAATGGCTCATTTTAAAGAAAATAAAAACACAATTATTCTTATTTTCAGGTGATTATTAATTTATGAAAACATAGTTATGAATTTTATATTCTATTTCTGCCAATATACCCCCCTAAATCCTACACACTGGATATTTACTGTAAGTTGAACTTTTAGAGTATAATACCAAATATAGAATTAATAAATAGTGTCAATAAGTACCTCAGCAAACTGCGGTCCCCCCTGGTAGTCGCTGTCGGCCGCGCCGCCCTGCAGCAGCAGAGCCAGCGTCACGCAGAGCAGCAGTGGGCCCCACAGGTCCCAGTCCCGCAGCAGAGCCGTGCTCCGCTTCGGGTACAGGACGTGGATGAACTTGTTCCCGACCGCACGCAGGTCCCGCAGGATGGTCTCCTTCACGGGCTCGTCCAGCGTGGAGAACTCATCGTCCCGGCTGGCGGGGGAGCCGACGGGCACGGAAATGTCCCCCTCCACCGGGATGTCCTCCGAGATGGAGACATCTGACAGCCCTGCGAACGGTCTGCTGGCCTCCTCCGCTGCCGCCATTTTCACTTGACAGTTTTCAGTGTCTTAACGACGACCGTTAGTTATCCCGGAAATTTAGACGACACCAGTAGAGCCCATTTAATAAATATTAAAACAAGACAGAGACTAGAACAACAAATGTTCCTCTAAATCAGTGAATTTAGTTCTAGTTGATCCAGTTAGTTCAGCTGGTGGAGAACAGACTGCAGCTCCACGTCAGCTGAGGATTGTTTACTTCCGCAGGACGTTCGCACGCACATCCGGTTGGTGCGTCCAGGGATACCTCCTGAACACGGAAACTATACACTTACATAGTTTCCATGATCTTTAACGTGAGTTTTATGCAATTAATACAATATACAATAACTTTACATGACGAATGATAAATTAATTGTTGTATTAGTATCAATAAATAATAGATTAGAAAATTATTAGATAATAATTGTAGATATTCATAAGGGGTGGTGGTGGTGCATGATTAAATTATCAATTACAGGTGCATTGAAATAGTCATCCAATTTAACAATAATCGGTTTAGTCCTAATATTATGAAACATTTCAGTTTGACAACAGATGTTTATTATTATTAGTAGTAGTATTTCAAAGATCAGTTATCGATCGGTTATCAGGTCAGTCTCCTGTACATGAAATTGTTTCTTTGGGATTAATAGTTCCTATGGTATCGTCAATACATCTTAACACAACAACAAATATATGTTTGCTTATATAGTCATGATTTTACTGACATTATACTAAGCTAAACTTTGGACATACATGTACAAGCCTCAATATTACAGTTACTTCTGTCATTTTAAACAATAATTAGTTGTGGGGGTTACTTATAATAATTTTCAGGACACCTGAAATATTTTTTTCATTCTGAAGAAATCTCCTCTTTGGGATTGATATAGTCCTGTCTCATGTTATGATATCTTTAATACAATTGTATAAAACAACAAATAAATGTCAAATGTAAAATAAATAGCTGAGGTTTTTGGGGTTTTCTGTTGTATAATGTAGCAGTGTTGTATAGTATTGTTTTAATAGCATTTTAAATGTATGTATGATTGTATGAAGTGTATGATGTGTGGTGTGTATGAGTATATATTAAAAGGTTAATGGGCGCTAACTTTCAGAACTACTACACTACTACAGCTAACTAACATTCAGAATAATAAGGTTGATATTAAGGTGCAGTCCAAACAAAGCTGAAAGGTGTTATTTCAGGTGTAATATATGGGTGTAAATGAACAATATACAAATGTATTACAGATTTCAATCACCTTTTATTATTTTTTTAATTGAAATTTGTGGGGCAGAGCTGCTTCGCCACGGTCCATGAAGGCATCACGAAAGTCATGGCGAATACGTCGCATACTGATGACGCACTAAACCGTCGACACTCGTTCAGTCGTGTGTTTACATTATGGACATGTCCCCAGTTGTGTTTGTAGCTCAGTAAGAGCAGTTTTCGGGTTGAAACTTTGTTAAAATTAATCGTTAATGATTAAGTAAATAATTTTCAAAATGTCACCGGCCAGAAGACACGGCAGTGAGATGGATTTCTGCCGGAAACAGGTGAAGTCAGACTGTGAGGAGCTGCTGAGACGCTTCCAGAAAACTGAGTCTGTTCGCTTCGAGATTTTCTCCAGAATATGGAGGGAAATGAAGTTCTCACAGATATTCTAGTAAGTTAACCCTTAAAAATACCACTTTACTGTCAGCCACAATGTTATTTATTATGTGATACAAGCAGTGGTGGACAGTAACGAAGTACATTTACTGAAGTACTGCAATTAAGAGTTTGAGTACTCCCATTGTATGCTACTTTATATTTCCACTCCACTACTTTACATCTCACGGGGGAATATTGTACTCTTCACTGCTGCACTGTATTCATCCAGGAGCTATAGTTATTTTGCACATTCAGAATAAAAATACAAAATATAAATAAATCAGAACCAGAATCAGCTTCATTGATCAGTTATTGTCACGTATCAGGAATATGACCCTTATTTTTTGTTGCTCTCAAGTCAACAAAGCTGAGACAAGGGCAAAACAAGCATTTAACTACTGTGTACAGATATAAATAAATGGCAGATCGTCATGTTTTTTTTTAACTGAACAGTGCATGTCACATGTCATTGTTCTGCAGTGGGACTATGACACATGAGAAGCGAGCGTTCAGTCGTCTGATTCTGGACACCGTCTGCAGCTACTTCCTGCCTCCATTCAGCTTCCAGATTAGAGTGGGAGGACTCTACCTGCTGTACAGCCTGTATCAGTGTCAGACTGCCATGCCCTCTGAGCAGGTCAGGAACACAACATATGTCAGTCATACATTTACTAAAGTCCTACTTGAAATTAAAGTTCTTGTTATGTCTCTGGCTGCAGATCCGTCTGGCTCTGAAGGACTGGGAGCATGTGAAGAAGTTTGAGAAAGACGCTGTGGACGCTCAGCACCTGGACGTCGTTTACATCCTTAAACAGCTGATGTCCCTCAAAGCTTTCAACTTCACCGCCATGCCCACTCTGGTGAGCTGCCTTAAAAAGTGCCGCAGTTGTAGAAAGTGGAAGAAATGTGGGGCAGAGAGCTGAAATGTCTGCTGCAGCTGTTGAACTTGAGATTTAAGATGAAAATGATGTCCCATAACTATGAATATTTCAACTCAGTGTAGTGTTTCTGAATGTTGTGGTGTTGTACTGCATAAAAAGAAAAGGTTGGAGTGTTTCAGCTGTACCCTACAGAGTTGCAGCAGGACGCACTTCCAACCGAAAATGTCTGACAAAAACTAAACTAATCAGAAATATATAAGGTCTTTGAAAGAGACGAGCACCAGCAACCTGGAGGTTGAGGTGATGCAGAAGCATGAGGATTCATGTCATTTCAAGCCAGTTTATAATTCAAGTGTACTTCATGATAAAAGGTCAGCATACAAATGTACCTTTGGAAATACAGCTCAGCTAATCGACCATTTTGTGCTGTTAGACTCTTGTGAATTAGAAATAAAAGACAGGCATGGCTGACTCATAAAATCATTCTAAGAAATTATTTTAGTTTTGGTGCCTACTATCTTGCAAACTCACATATTCCACTCTCTCTTCCTCCTACTTCTCCTTTGTCTCTTCCTCTCCTGCCAGCTTGCTTTCGGAAGGAAGAGAAAGTTGGAGAAGGCGGTGCTGTGCGAGGAGTTCATGGAGCGACCGTCTCGTCCACAGGAGCTGATCAACATGGAGCTGCTAGAGGTGGGCGGAGAACTGTTAGTTGTCTCTGACATTTAAAAAGTAGATTATTAAAGGTATTTAATGGTGTGTTGTGTTTGTCTTCTTGCAGGAATTGTCCAACATTAATGAACTCTATGGGAAGCTGAAGACTTCTGTCTGTTTGATGACAGAGCAGCCGAACTCCTCCCTCAGCCTGATTCGTAAAGACCTCGTCCCTCAGCTACAAAGCACTGTGATGGAATTTTACAAGTGGCAGCAAAGGAGGGTGAGACTTTCTGCAGGTGTTCGTTAAAAACAATTTGTGCTTTAATGTTGTGAAATATTTACGGTAATAAACTTCTCCCAGTTTGTCAACTGCAAGACATAATGTGGTTATTTAAGTGCTTTTGAGTTGTCTTTTTTCCACTGTTGATGTGATGAGATCATGTGTCTTTTCTTGTCAGGATTGTCCTGATGAAGATGAAGGTGAAGACAGCTGTGAGGGAACATCATCTCAGAAGGAGGTGAGTTATACTACATTAAACTTTACTGCAGGGTTTGAGGGGCCGTACACATGCCGCGTTTTTTGTGCCCTCAAATGCACTGTTTGCAATGTAGATATGAGGCGTGCTCAAGAGTGACGCAGTTGTGGGCGCAATGGCTGTTTCCTGAGATAAACAGAGTTTAACTTTTGGAACACAGCAGCACGCACCTCATGTCATGTGACAAGGAAAAACCAATCAGAGCCGACAGATATCTTTCCCTTCTTCTGTCAGTGATGAATATGGAAAAGAAGTTGATCATCAGTCAGAGCTTTACATCTGTCCCATGGGCAATATTTTTGACATAATACACACTTACAAAACGACGCCTGGAAGAAGATCAGCTCTGTCCTCAGGATTTCTAGAAAGTAGGCTGTGACAGGGTGCTGGTTATGGTCACTTAGCAACCTCAAACAACCTGCTTCATGCCTTTAAAAGTTGGCACAGAAAAGACACAAGAGTCACACACAGCGCCTGACCTTGCGTTTTCCATGTGCTTAAAGACGCAGCATGCGTACGGCCCCTAAAGCATCACTGGTGCACCTCGTGTCTCCTGCGGGACATTAAATACTCAAACTGAAGAGAAGTACATAAAGTCTCTCAGCTTTTTCCATTTCTAAAGCTGTAATGATTACTCTGTCTAGATGGCAGTGCAGTTGACTGACTTCCTGTTTTGTGTCCTCAGTGCACCAAAAGAGCCGAGCTCCTCGCATCCATCAAATCAAAGGCATTCAAAGAGGCAACAGAGGTTTGTGTCTCAATTTGTTTTTATTGGTATTTTCTTTGAATATGTAACCAGTGAACATTCCCGTTGGACATATATGTACACACTTGTGTCTCAGGTCTCCAAGTCACGGCGTCATCGTCAAGTGGAGGTGGATGTCACGAATAACGAGGCCGGGCCCTCCAACTCATCAGGTTCCTCCAAAGCAGTGAAACCATCACTTAAAGCCAGAACCGACCAGAAAGTACATGTCTCAGGTAAATCCTTCTACGACCTTCATTTAAATTCAAACTCACAGTAGAAGAAAATTTGATGGGTCGAGTTTTGTTTTTTATATCTGTAAATCATCTGGGATTTTATTTACCCCCCATCTTGCGCTGAAAGGACAAAGATTCAAAGAGAGATAAAAGGAAAAGATGAAAGGAGAGAGGACTTGAGGGAAAACAAGTTTTTAGTGAAATGAGACGAGATAAGATGAAACTTCATCATCCCGAGGGAAATTACTGTGCAGCAGTCTCAAGCCAAAATATATACAACACAAAAACAGTGTAGATCATAAGATATAAGCAGGTCAGAGGCAGGGATCTTTCTGGGCAGGGTTAAAGCTTTGGAAGTAAAGTGTAAGGGAACATGGTTAATACAGAATGTTCATGATTATGTCCATAATTACTGTCCTTTTACATCCTATCAAACTTAAAGCCACTGACTAATTGATGCACTCGCCTGACCTAACCAACAGCTGCTCATCAGGTGAACACAAGGAGTCCACTTCTTCTTCTTTGATGCATAATTTATTCATCACTGCTGTAGTGTTCAATGAAACACTTGAGACATCATGAATCTGTGTCCATAAACCAGTCAAAGGTACAAATTAACATAACATTTAGCAGCGTACACCTCACTTGACATGGCTTGGTGTTGCGGTCAAAAAACTATGTGTGCTCCCCCGTCTAGCAACACCTGTCCCTGTATTGACAGACACCCATGACAATACAGTGACCCCTACAGGACAAACTAGCATCCCACACACATTTTACACAGGGGATGGCTCCTATAACCATAATAAGGCTGGACAGTTACCACAACCAGCACTGTTACTTTTCCTTGAAGTGCTTCAACGTGACAAAACAGACTGCATCTTATTACCTTCTTTTATTACTGTTATAAAGATGGACGTCATGACAGCTCCCCAAAAGTGAAGCCGAAACACCTTGACAAGCTGAGGGGGATCTTTGTTCCGTTTCTTGTTTTTGTATCTTGAATGTTTTTTGCTGAAATCCTGACATACTGATTCTTCCCTCTCGCCAGGTGAGCTGTTGAAAGAAGCCACAACAGCAACCAGTATTAGCCGTCTCAGCACTGTGGACTTTGGTCCTGAAGGTACACATCTTATAAACTGTTACTCCTTTACACTCCCTGTGTTAGTGTGCACAGTGTCTCTGCTCTTGTTCCTGAGAGGTTCACTGTGGTTTCCTAACATGCTACATTTGCGCGCTTGTGGACCTTGAACGTTCGTATTTGGCAATAAAACATTTACCAGGATGAATTTTTCTGAGCTCACATGGAGTTTTCAAACAACACAGTAATCTTATTTTGTGATGTTAACACACTGATTAACGTGCTTGTCTCCTTTTCTGATTTTTTTCCTTCATTCAGAAAAAGCAAAACCAAAAAGAAGATTCAAGTGGTGATGATGACATCACAGGAGTCAACGTGCTTCCTGACTGGAGCTGATGCTACGTAGATTTTGAAGTTTGTTTCAAAATGTTGATATGATTTGGTGCTGTAAAGACTTTTTTATGATCTTTTATTACACCCAAACGTCTCTGTTAAAGAAAGAATATTGTCCTGCATGACATCTGTTCTTAAATGCAGCTTGGATGCTTTGTAAAATGTGACCACCTTGACAAACTCATCAAAGCTGAAGACATTTAGTTTTCTTTTTGCAGTTTTACAGCCATCGCTTGTTGAAAATGGACTCTGTACCTGCCAGATACATTTTTACCCTTTGCCTTTTACAGTGCAGGCAGCGTTCATTGTGTCTATACACAAAATTTAGGTAAATGACTGTAAACATTTTCCTCATAACATTCATCTCTGTGCAGCTTCTTCTGTGTAAAACTTAAAACCGAATTTCTGCAGTTATTGTTTCTGGTATGTAAATATTTTATAAATCTCTTTTTTTTTATAGTTGCTATTTTTGTCCCGTCTCTTTTCTTGCGTGACGTCTGATTCAGACTAAATAATTTGTGGAGATGTCATATTGAAGCCAAAGAATGTGGACGTCTTTTTATGGTCTGGAGCTGTCTTTCACTCTCTTTGTAAGTGAAGCAAAATCTCCATATTAACCTAGCTTTATCGCTTCACTTCGGACATTTTGTGTTTCCATCTACTTTTAACAGTAATTCACTGTCTCTGTGTTTTATGATTTTAGTTCTTATTTTCACTTGCATTTGCTTTTAGACAATATGACACATTAATTGCCTTCTGGACACCTATCTCTGCACCTCTGCTCCTCCAGCAATGCAAAACAGCACTGTGAGGAGCAGACAGACGGCTAAGGAAACCCAGGTGGTGCAGAAGAAGAGATGTACAGCAAGTATATTTCTACAGGAAACATTAACAAATAACACTTAATAAAAATAACTCAAACAGATAAAATTCACAAATACTCAACAGACATTTTAAATGATAAATACAATTTACAAATATAGTTAAGCAACAAGAAATGATTAAGTGCACTTTAAACTCTGTTGCGCCTGCACTGTCCATATTTACGCCTTCTATGTCCCAACTGTTGGAGAACTACGGTGGCCGAAGCAGAACTTCGAATGGCCCTGATCTGGAGCCAGAGTTTGATTTGTCCATTCTGAGCTACTGTAGAAACAAAATGGCGGAACGGCTCATTTTAAGATAATGAAAAACAACCAATCTTATTTTCAGGCGATAATATACGTTTGAGAACGTATTTGTGAATGTTATATGTTTGAATTTTTACTGCTCAGACATTTTGATAGTATGTTCAACTTGCCTTGTTTTTAAATTTGTTGTTCAGTCAGTGGGGAAAAAAAAGCTAAACGTTAGCGGACTTGTTAAGCTGTTTTTAGTCTCTATGACTGAATTTAGCTAACGTTACTTCTTATATTGGGATAATTTACCAAAGTGTTAGTTAGTTATAAGAAATGTATTTTATTTATGAGTAACAGCGGTGGGAGTTAAGTGTCGTTAGCTAAGTACTGAAGTCTTTCTATCTTTTGATTTTAGCCATTTTCTTTGCCATTTGCCATTAAACATTCATGCTGTTCATTTTTACATAATAAAAAATGCCAACAAGTAGTAGACAAGTCAGACGTAGTAAGCAACTAAATTTTTAAGTAATATGTGGTGTTATTATTTATTTTTTGTTTTTGTAGGGCATTAGCCGTAGTTGTAGCCGTTAGCTAGCTACTGAGGGATATTAGCACAGTTCAAGGACCACAGACTGTGTGGGTGAAAGGTAAAATTTATCCTATTCTTTTCTAAATAGGATCAATATGACTGAATGGTTTCGACAATTTAGGGCACAATTTAACATTAAAATAACAATAAGGTTGCGGTTTGAATTAGCTATTTATTAAATGAGATGGATAGGCCTCTAAGTCCATATTTCCCACAGTCCCTGAAGGCGTCACCGTTCACCGCTGTGTGGATGCAGATCTTTGCGGCTCTGGAGGATGAGGAGCGGCGGGGATGCTGCTGCCTCTGCTCCGCCGATCACACACTCGGTCCCGCTGGTAGTCTGAGGGGAAACAGTCGCAGCCATGGCCTCGGACAGTAAGTACCACCGTCTTTTCACCGTGTGTCCGTTTCTAATGCTGATTCCCCCCCTTGTGTCAGTGCCGGGGGATGGATGCTGTTTTTAGGCTCTCCCCTCTGGTTTCTTTTTGGGGTTTGGCTGACTGATAGCGACGAAATGCGCAGGCCAATTTAATCTCTTTTTCCTAATACTATCGTTTTCTTCATTTTATCCATATTATTGATATTTTAAGGCCTTTATCAGCCTCTAGACAAAGAAATAATTATGATATTCCTTCAGTATTCCTGAAGGTGTACTCACTGGAGAGTTGATAGTTGCCTCATCATGGCCACTTCACGGAAGCCTATTTTTGTACCTCCTGTTCAAAATTTTAAGATTCCGGATTGCAGTTAAACCCAGTGATCATGCTAACATTGTATCATTTGAATACAATTTGTACGGAGCTGTTTTCTAATACAGGCCTTGCACAAAGCCTGTGGTGTCTTTTACTGCGTTTATTAATATTACTGCTAATATGCAGGCCTAATATTCCTGTCATGTTGCTGCAGGGGCTTCACAGTCCTGCTGTGATATTGCACTTTGCATAAGATGTAATATTCGAAGTGTAGGTATAATTTTAAGATCATTTACTCAAGTATTTCCTTTGAATTTATACTTTTACTCCATTGCATTTCAGAGAAAAATATTGTCCTTTTCACCACATTTATTTGACAAATAGAGTCACTGTTGTTACTCTGCAGGTGGACTTTAAGAATATTTTGCATTGTTGCTGGTTAAACTAGCCATTAATATATAAAATAGATTAAAAAAAATAAGCTCCACCTGGACTGACACCTGGCTGCAACATTTAAATGGCTGCTTAACTCATAATATAATAATGTTAAAACAATGATGTACATAAACTACTGTGTTTAAGAGCTATTAATTGCACCTCTATTAGGAGTGACAGATTTGTGCCCAGTCTTTTTCCTCAAAGAACCCCTTTTCGTCATAGAGTAAACTGATGACCCCTGACTAAGTGTGGATATTTCATATTATATTCAATGCTTATTAATAACAGTACAGAATAACTGATACAGTTAACCCAAAAACTGAGCGCAATGACTGCAGGAAGTTCATGTAAAACGTGCAATTTGGATGAATTTTGAGCAGTATTTCCTGTGAATATGACATCAGAGATAAATTTTCCTTTTATTTTTAGAAACTTTTTATACGACTCTATCTGTAGTGTGTGTGTGTGTGTGTGTGTGTGTGTGTGTGTATATATATATATATTAGCAGTCATACATACTTAAAAGGCTTATTTATTTTTTTACAAATTTAGTGTTTTCTTCTCCCTGATGCTTGGCCACTCTTCTATAAGTTGTTGCAACTGGAAACTTTTGTAATGCAGGATGAGGCTGTTTAGCAGAGTGAAGAATCTCTACATGTAGCTTCTGTGTAGGTCTTCATTGTGCCCTTATCCTGTGAGATTTTTTTGTGTTTATATTGAATAATAATGTAGTTCATTTCACATACATCATGGAAATGCTAAGATATAGGCTGACTGTATATTTTTTTTAAAAGATTTCTTTCACCCCTTAAAATCAAGACCAAGAAGGCTGTGTGACCCCCTAGTGAAGCTTTGGCAACCCCTAGTGGGGTCAGCCTGACTTGACATTACTGATAACATTAACAATGGCTCTGTTTCATTCAAACTGAAGCAGCTAAATAGAATTCAGCCATCGTAAATTTTGTTATTTCCTCCTGTGTTTTTCATACTGTAACACGTATACCTGTCTTCCTTTCAAAAGACCTATGGCCAAAATTAAAAGAGCAAAACCTGAGATTTGCTGACTTTCAGTCTTTAATATTCATTGTCATAACCTGGCTCCCAGGCCATGACACATGCGGGAAGGGACAGAGTGGGTGGTGTTAAATCAAAAAGTATTTATTATAGCAAAGCAAACAACTAAAAACAACTACATATGGAGTATGGCTAATCAGTAAGTCAGCGATGTAGATGTGAGTGAGTGAAAAATAGTGTAGTATAAGGCCAGAATGCGCAGACGCTGGAGGGGAAGAGTCCAAGTTGGGAGAGAGAACGAGCTTTAATTCTCCAGAGGTACTCAGCCCAGGTGCTCCAAATCAGCTGCTGCACTCCTGTGATGCCTTCACGATCAAAGGGGAAAAACAATTACTGGTGAAAGACAAACTCAGCAGCTCATGGGCTGTCACATCATCAAGTTCCTACATTTCCTTTAATGAAACTTAGGAGTATCTTTAATTAGATTCTCTCTGGCTGATGTTTCAAACCCCACACCTCCAGTTTGTAACACAGGTTTTCTGTTAAGAAAATTTATAGTGTCCAAATCTTGTGCTGCGTTCCAGTCAGGGTTAGATGGATTTTCCCAAGTTTACAAGCAGGGTTTCTGACTTTGAGTGGCGTTTCGTTTTAGTTTTTCTAGTAGGGGGTTGGAAATTTTGAAGTAAGATCCTGAAAATGGTCAAGGTGTCCTTTTTAAATTGTAAGTTTTTAGTGGGAGTACGTGTTTGGGAAGTACTGAGCGAGCATACGACTGAATAAATGAGTCTTGGATTATACTGCAGGAGTTGTGTGAGAGTTTGTTGTTAAAGGCGATTTCCATTAACTTAAGTTCATAAAGAATCTTCATCTTTGGATTCTTTGTTCACTGTGGCTATGTGAGAAGCTTTCTTCATGAATTAAACATAATGCAGGGTGAGTAATTGAAAGACAAATAATCATGCTGTGGGTGAAGTATTCCTTGTCACTGGGACATTAGCAAAATAACTGGAAACTGTGATAAATCAATCATTAAAATAATCCACCAAGAAAATTTCATACACAGTTGAATATGGCTCATAATATCAACGTGTACACATAACCTCCTAACCTGCTCCCCTCTGCGGGTGTGACAAGTGTTGTTGAGATGCAAAGCAGCATCAAAGAGCTCCTCAGTGTGCTCCATTAAGCAGTAGGGAGCAGTCAGCCATGTGTGTCACGCTGTTTGTGGTTATTGTGGCCTAGTTACAGACTGCTTCGATATCTAATTCATGGCTCAGAGAGAGGACGGCGCTCTCAATAGAGACTCGTGAGTATATAATGCTGCTGTCTGGTCTGTGTGATTAGCTGTGTCAGGAAATAGAAACCGCCTTGAAATCCATGTTTGTTCCTGTTTATTTGAAGACTGGGGACCATTGACAGGAAACCAGACATCTTGCCACTTTCCCCTTTTTCCGCAGGCTGGTTGGAGTCACATAAAGATTTCTCAGAGGGAAAGATATTTAAATTGGTTGAGTTGAAATTATAGTGGGTGAAGTTAATCATCTGCAATTAAAATCCACTGTACACTACCTGCTCAGCGGGAAAGACAGCACAGAGACAAGCTGGGGAACATTGTGGAGCATTACGCAGCTAAAGAAACACATATTATTTCTCAGGAGTTGGTAGAAACCAAAAACTAAGTTAAAATAGAGTGAATATTGGACCCATATTCATCAAATGAACATTTTCAATAGTGTGTCATGCAGTGTGGGACTCACACTGGTCTGTTCTTGGTCTCGACTTGATCTCAAACCCCTCAAAGTCTTTGTCGTGTATTGGTCTCAATAGACTCTGATCTTGTTCAGAACTTGGTCTTAGTTTAGCTTGTGTTGACTCAAAGCAGTCGCCAGAAGAAATGTTGTTTTTGCAAACCACAGATACATTTATATGGTATTTGTAGTGGATAAGTTGAAACATCTTTATGGTAAAGATGGAGTTAGGTTTAAGCACAAAAATCACTTGGAAATGGTTAGGAAAAGATCATGGTTTGGCTTGGTTGGCTTTGGTGGCACAATAGATTCTGGAAAAGCAGGGACGGGTCAGTGAAAAACACCCAGGTTCAGTGACTGAAAGGCAACCGGGAAATGCTTTTATGTGTTGGCATGAGAGAGCCGTACACCACTTCCCACGCAAAAGTTGTGATCTATATAAACAGAGTTGATGGGAGAACTTGACCCATGCTTATAAACATTTTGGAGACAGGAAATTGGTGACGCAGATTATGAGGTAGAAGTCTGATTGTAGAAATTGTTGAATATTTTTTTGTGCATGCCATTTTTGGCTTTTTAGGCCTGTGGTCCTTATTTTCTTACACTACCGTGCTTGGCGGGTCACTTTCCCCGCCTTCCTCTGTGTTGTTGTGTCTTGCTGGGATTCAGGAAGAACCGTCCGCCTCGCCCAGTGGGAGGCAGGAAAGCTGTGTTGATTGACGGTTCATACAGGACACAGAACAGCTCAGACTGGACAGTTGGACTTCAGTGAAAGAGAACAAAGGGATGAAGGAGAGAGTTTAGGAGAGAGGTCGAGTTTGTTCTCTGCATGAGTAGGAGTTTGTTTTTGGGGAGGAGAAGAGAGAAAGAAAGGAGTAGAAAGGAGTGAGGAGAGAAGGAGGAGGTGAAGACATGGCCAGTGAAGGAGGAAATAATGACACTCAGTCAGCAGCAGCAGACGGCTGGTTCACACGTAGAAAATGTGAGTTTTGAGTATTATTTCTGAAATCTGGAAAATGCTGCGTGATGATTGAGCCCAGTTTCTCATTTCTTGTCTTGGTTGTTTGGTTTCACCTGCTGTTATTCAAAGAGAATTTTACTCTCTGGTATTGATGGACAAACGATACTGTGGCGCAGAAGCTTGTTTCACACTTGTGAAACTATTTCAATATAATGTATTGTACTGAATCACTGCATTCCTTTATTTGAGTAAAATGACTCAATACTCTGTTACAAGTAAAAGTCCAGTATTGAAAATGTTACTTAAGTAATTGTATGTAATTATAATGAAGAAAATGTACTTAAACTATTAGACAAATGTTAGAAAACAGAAAAATGTTGCTGTGCAGGGGTGAAATTTTGATTTAAAAGTCAGGGGGACACAGTTAGTACAAGAACAAATCCTCAAAAAGGCATTAGTTTTTCAGATACCCTTACCAAAACATGACCACAATTTTCAATTATTTTGATATGTCCCCTTCAT